AGCGGTGTGAGTAAATGATGACAGAATGTTCATTTCTTGGTGAACTATTCCTTTAATAACGCTGACAGACTCACTGAAATGTGGTCGTGGAAAAATTTACTCGTTTCAACATCGATCCATAAATGAATGCTAGCGCTATTTTGAAAGCGTTCATGATGCATTTGAATCACGAGATGTTTTGAGAAGGCCCTGTGTGTTTGGGACGTCATTCACGAGGTGGATTTATTTCCAGAAATCCATTTTTCATACCCTCCCGGCACACCGTAGAACACTTTACTCAGCACTCGAAGCCTCGCACTTCTCTTCAAGTGCCTGGGGGGAGATCTAAAGAAGACTAATGGAACATGACGATCCTCGGAGGACGAGCGGGGAAATTCAAGCGCTCTGGTCGCCTGTGCGCCGCTTTGATTCCTGATCATGACAAATGAAGTAATTAGCATTCTAGTCCAAGAAGAGCGAGTTCTCTTTATTCCTGCAGGTTTATAGCGGAGCCTGCTAAGTACGTCGGGCCCGTCTTCATCCCTGCTGCCGAGCCGAGACAGACCGAAGCCGGCATGAAGCACATCTTGTGCTTGCGATTTTATGGCTCATGTCAACAGTGTTTCCAACTGGGCTATCTTGGATTTTAGGCATTGTTTGAAACATTAGCACACTCGAGATGATGTTATCCATCAGTGGTGCACCTGATATGACCAAAGACAATTACAGGTCGTAATAAGCGAACTGAAGTTGCTTTTAAGCAAGATGGATAGAGTAATCTGTGACATTGACTCGAGAAGGCTCATTTTATCTGAGCTTGGAAGAGGGTCATTCTTATTATTTTGTGGTCAAGTATCACTGTTGCTCATACTTTGGGATTTGAACAAGCCTCTAGGCCTGAGTCTTGTTTTTAAGCATCTGGTTTGTTCTTGTTGCTATGAACATGAATGATACTGTATCTCTAACTGTGTTTTGTTGTTGTTGTTGTTGAGGGGAGGTGTGCTTTTGCTTTTCTAACCAATATGTTTACCTGAGAGATAAAAAAAAAACAAGTGGAAATATATGGACTCTTTTGACTAATAATTATGCATTTAGAAATACCTACTCAGAGCAACGTCCTGGCAACCACTCAGAACACCTTTGCAATTTGATTATGATTCTGAAATGTGGTCTCTTTCTGATTTGATCATTTAAATACTGTTCATAATTAAATTCAGAAGCATACTGATGAACATAAACTGGAAGGACAGTCAAAACCTCAGAGTCGATGAGGGATCTGGACTTGTGCAGCTGAAAATATATCAATAATTGTATTTTTGATCTGAAGTTAAAGTGTAAAATGCTGATTATAACATGAGGACCCCAAGTGCTTTTTAAATCGCAAGCCAAAAAAACCTTAAACAATTAATGAAAAAAAAAAATGCATTCAACAAGTGAAATGACTATTCAAAAGAGAATATAAACTGCCAACCATCTCCTGTATAAAATGAAGACTCTGGATCAAATAGCAATGTTGGTGCCATTGAGCTATTAGCAGCTAATTCTATTAAAGTTAATTTCCACATACCTGTATCTTTAATATTTTCCAGTCTGAATGCATTATGCACGATCACTGTGTATACAGTGCACCCTTAAGAGTTATTCGGAGCAGATCATAAGTTTGAACACAATAAAAGCTGTCCTGAAGTTAAGAGTAACTGCACATTATGAGGTTTTACTGCCTCATACTTCGTCCACATTAACACACAATTTTGAACACATTTCTTTTGTACGTGTAGACATGCACGTTCTGTCCATGTTAAGGCATCCGTTTTCACTGTATTTCTTTAGTACATGTCAAGACGTACAGTTTTACCGCATAAAGACGACAAATCTGAATGTGTCTCTCAATGCGCACATTCTGGCCGCACTTGAATGTGTAATACATTTTAAAGCAGTTTACCTCTAGATTTACCCACATATTAATCTTTTCTTTAATCGATGCATTATCCCTCATTAACAAATATAATGTTTGCATATATGCACACAAGCGTACCATTACGACATCCTTCATGAATAAACATGATTTCTAATGTTTGTATACATATACACCAAGGTACCATAACGCCGCATATGCAAATATAGTCTCAAATACAGCGATTTTATTGGCTGCTGTGCATGTTTTTGCATTAACACAGACAAACAGTGTGTGCTGATAGTCAAATTTCACGCATTCCACAAAGACTTTTGACTGCGTCTGCCATACGGTTGAGCTTCTGCTGATCAATGTAAATATGTGAATAAAAGTCTAAATTAAATCTGTTCAGTATATAAAGCAATCGAGTCTCTTCAGAGAATTTAGACTAAACTGCTCAATTCATATGGATTTGTTTTACAATCTCTTCATGAAAGTTTTGAATCATCAAAGTGGTAGTTGTGTAGACTGTCAATGGAGGTACAGAAATCTCATATTTCATGAAAAATGTCTTCATTTGTGTTCTGAAGATGAACGAAAGTCTTACGGATTTGGAATGATGTGAGGGTGAGTAAATGATGACAGGTTTTTCATTTTTGGGTGAGCTGTACCTTTAAGGCCTTCAGTGAGGAAAAAAATTCTTCAACTTCTTAATGTTTTCCATAAAAACTTTATAATGTTTGCCCTAGGGCTGGATTAAGGAATATGGAGGGTGGGAAAAAAGCATAAAATCGATCGTTAGGAGCGCATCTCAAGGGTCTAGGAAAGAAAAGCCCGAATCGCTTCAGATGTTTCCAGTTCATTTCCATAGGAGATAAAGTGTGTTTTTACAGGCGTGATGTGAGTTATTCACACTGTCTGACTGTTGCTAGGGCTTTATGCATCACAGCAACAGCGGTTTTGGTTCTGAGGATGGCTGTTTCCAAGCAGATCAGGACCTATTTCGGGAAATGTGCAAATGACAAATGCATGCATGCTTAGATTGCAATTTATTACATAGGATTACATGACATACTGTATGACATCTTATGAAAGGCTATTTCAGTCCTGTGAACTGTCCTTGACATCCGCAACACGTTTTATTTCCTTATTCAGATGCATATCTGATTGAAAACAGAGATTTTATCTATCAGGATTGGTGTTGGGTTCTAGAATGGAATCAAGTGGCTGGTAAGGAGAAGTTTTGAAAAGAGGGATTCAAAAGAGAAATTTTTTTTTTTTTTGCATAACACAGAATTGTTCAACAAGAACATAAATGTTTTTGTAAGTTTATTATGGGGTATACTTAGGGTGACCAGATGTCCCAGTTTATCTAGAACATTCTCAGTTTTACAAGGTCTGTTTTGACTGATTAATTCCAGAATGAAATAATGCATGGAATCAGAACAGAATGAAACAATGCATGGATAGTGTGTAGCATTGCAATGTTGAGCAGTTGCGTTCACATACTTGCAATAGTCTGTTTTGGCCTAAATGTAAATTTATGTAAAAAATGTGTGTATATATATATATATATATACATATTATTTGCAGTCTGTTCTGTCCAATATTAGAATAAACTGAATAAAACAAAATAGTTATGTACTACTATAAATTTTGTTAAGATTCTCCAATTCACTTTTGTTTTTATATTTTCAGTTTTTATTTTAATTTTAGTTTCATTTTTAAATAATTTTGTCATATACTTTGTGATTTTTATTTGTATTTTCAAAAATTGTTTTGGTTTATTTTTTTATTTCCACTTAATATTAGTGCTTTTCTAATCTGTTTAGTTATAAGTTTCGCATTTAATAGTTATATTTAATTTTATTTCAGCTTTACTTCAATTACCAATTTGTATAATAGTTTTAGTTAACAATATTAATTGTGCCAGGAAGAAAGTCAAATCACACTAATGACATCGACTAAAATGAAAAACTCTTTTGTTTTCCAGCTGTTTTAGAACTATGTTACTCCTGTCACATTTTCACCCCCCATGAAGATTTCACAGGAACACCCTCCACCCTCCTGTCCGTCCCGGTTTGAGTCTTCAAAAATCTGCTCACCCTTCAGATATCTGATACTCTCTCTGCGACGAGGCCTGTTTGACACAATCCTCTGGTTCTTTTCATCCAGAGGGCATGAAGCGGTGAGTGGAGTGACAGTAATATATGCGGCGGTCAGAGTTATCATCTTAATAGGACTGTCAGCGTGATGTCATCTCAGGGCTGAGGGTGACAAGCGCGACAGGAGATGCATATCGTGGCAGAAAACAACTCAGATGTCCACAATGTCACCTTGTTGTTTCAATGTCTAAACGTTCACAGAAGCAATAAATGAACTTCAGAAGCTCCTGCCTCTAATATTCCTGATTCTCAAGACACTGGACAATACAATTCACACCTGTCATTAATTTTGAAAATAGCAGCATTTCTACTAGGAAATTAACTAGAGATGATCACTAGAATGTTGTAAACATAAATGTTTAAACAATTTTAGATAATTGCGGCTATATTTTTGTGTTTTTATGTTAGGCTATAGCCTAATAATAATATGTATTTTATGAAGAAACATGTTTGGGGTTTTTAGATAGCCTAATATTTCTCATTTTGAGTAGGTCCAGCTGTAGCAACAGCTAAAAATGGCTCCTCAGTTTAGTGTGTGTGATTATGTGAAAATTATGATTCTTTTCTAAGATTTTCTTCAATAGATGGAGCTGAGCTGTAGTTAAAGTTCATTTATTCATTGAAGTCAAAGCTAGATTTGTCAAATATTTATTAAATAGTTGTCATGACAATACACAGTCACACATTGTGTGAGAAAATGCAAGAAGCATGAGGTGGGTGAAATCCTGTAAACAATGAACGGATTAATCCAAATTAATTCCTATGCTATACTTGAACTTTTTCTTTTCTGTATCCTGTTTTGTCTGAGTGCTTTCTCAGTGCTTGGCTACTTGTAAGAACGAGTCGGATCGACCCAGATGAATTGGGTCATGCCCAATTTGCATGCGTATTGATTTTGATTCACACAAACCACAATGGCCTCTGGGTAATTTGCATCACCTGCACACCAAATTACCCTGATTCAGTCTGACTGGAGTTGCAGTGGAGCTCATGGGGAAAAGCCCAAAGAGACTCGCACAGAAAACTTTTTAAATCACTTTTACTGAGTAAAGTGTGAGCTTTTCTGAGGACAAACAACTAGCACATAGAGCAGAGCTGGGAAAGTGTCCTGCTGCCATCTGCTGGATAGGAGGAGCACATGCAGGTAAGGAAAAGCTTATAAAAGCTGACAAAATTGAGTTTTAAATACATGCATGACAAGTGCGTCACTATGGGTTCACTAAACCAATAAATCTGCATATACACAACTATTACTATCCAAGTAAAATGAGTTATGTTAGAGGAAGCGGGTGAACAGCCTCATTTTCATTAGAGAGTGCAGATGATTTATGGCGTGTATCTGAAATATAAACGGCGATTTTTATTATATAAAACTTATTTATGATACATTTTTTAATTCCCAAGCACTACTGATTCAGATCCTGAAAATATGAAAACAGCAATACAGTGACTCTTTTTTTGGTGTAAAATAAGAGACATTAATGTTGTGGCCTACTATAGGGCCAAACCTTCCTTCATACCAGCGTTTCTCAATATATATATATATATATATGAGTCATTCTATATTTAGGGGTAGGCCTACATTTCATGTCAGCCAAAAAGTCAGAAAATCTGTATTCTTTTTTGATAAATAAATTAGGTGGTTGAATAATATATCCCCTTAATGTGCTAAATTAATTGTTTGGCAAGCTAAATCTCTAATGACTTTTTAAATATATTAATGAAAATTAACATTTGATTCATTATTTTGTCAACTGTGTTACGGACAAATGTTGTGTCAAATGAAACCTGAATGAAGTCCCACATGTTTGATTACACATTTGATTGAAGGTTTTTGAGTCTATTCACCAGAGTTTTTGAGGTTAAATGTCTAACTGATTTGAACATATGAATTTGGGGCTTCATAATGGGCGTACTGTGGAATGCTGTCATGAAGGATGATACTTTTCTTTCACATAAATCCACAGTATGCTGAATTTAGTGTTATTCACCATCCTTACCAAAGTCATCCATCCCCAGAGATATCCCCATCTTTTTTTTCTGACGAATTAGTTCACATTTAAAAGATTTATAACATAAAAACCACACATAACACAGTTGACAAAGTAACACGGTTGACAGGTAAGAATGAACTTAGTATCCATAAAGCATTTTAAACACACAAACATTATAATAATAATATATATTATAATGTTAATAAATATATATTATATTATTATAAAGGTAAATGAAGTTTTATAATGCATCATGACGCTTCAAATTGTAAAGACTTATACAATAACATCATAACACTTTATCAGTCATGACTAAGCAGAAATAGATATATGCCAAATCTATAATATTATATAGGTTTATGTCAATCATGAGGAATTCTGAATGCTTTTTAACCCTTGACAAATGTGAATATAATGTGTATATAATATTATGGATACGGAGTTCATAGAAAGTGTGGCCGTGATTAGATCAGTTAAGTTTATCCATTGTTTTCCATGGTTTTAGGCAATTCCTATGTAATTTCTGTGTAATGACAATAGTTTGTGAATATATATTTTTATCAACAACACTCAGTGGGAGCATAAATTGACACTGAATTGCCAACATTGTCAACCGTGTTAATCCTTGTCAACTGTGGACTAGTAAGTACATGACCTTGATTAACTTTTGTTTTTATATTCTTTCTCTACATATTTATAAATATAACATGTGACGCAAGTTCACCAAAACATGTTGATAACAGTTGACGGGTCAATTAATCTACTCTATGTGCAGACAATAATCTAGATAAAATATTGAAGAGAAGTTATGACTTCGTCTTCAAATTTCCCTCCAAAAAAGGAAAATACATCAGGTGATGTTGGACATGTGACTTTGGAACAAACCATTGCTGATTTATAGTGGGTTTTATAGGGAGTAACACAGTTGACACTGATTTCTCAGACATATACAAAATGGATGATGATTTCTCGGACATACACAAAATGGATGATTTAATGTAAATGCATGAGCAAAATATTTTTTAAAACACCTTTCTCATAATTTAATGATTATTTTGGACAAATATTTATAAGAAATATATACCGAAACATGTATTTTAGAGCTAATCTGAAGAGCAAAACCTCACATTTACCAAATCGGACAGCACAAAAACGGCAAATTCCAGTATAGAATATGCCATTTTTGCAAGATAAAGATGATATCTGTTAGATTTTTGTATTAAATGAATTAGAAATGTCCCCTGATATAAAAGTG